GGCGGTGGGGCGGGGCTGGAGAGATGGCTCAGAAGTTAAGCTCTTGGTGCTCTTACACAAGACCAGGTTCATTCTCAGGACCCACATGAGGCAGCTCACAGCTACCTATAACTTCATAACTCAAGCACCAGGGGCTCTGACACCTACTTCTGGACCCCATGGGCACTTCACTGACATGCACAAACCTACACACATATATAATTTTCAAAACTAAAATATCTTTTTTTTAAAGATTTATTTATTTATTGTGTACACAGTAGTCTGCCTGCAGGTGTCCCTGCAGGCCAGAAAAGGGCACTAGATCTCATTACAGGTGGTTGTGAGCTACCATGTGGTTGCTGGGAATTGAACTCAGGACCTCAGTCGGTGCTCTTAACCTCTGAGCCATCTCTCCAGCCCCAAAACTAAAATATCTTTTTAGAAACTGTATGAGGCTGGTACTGACAGCATGCCCCTCTTACAACTGAGGAAAGGCAAGTGGAGCAAGTCTGAGTAACTTGTTCAAATCACTAGTAATCAGCATGAAGCAGTAAGACCCAGAACAAGCATCTTACCCCAGCGTCTGGCTCCAGCATCCTTGCGCTTAGCCGTCATGTGGTGGTCTCTGATATTGCTATGACATTTGCACAGCATAAAGGAAGAAGCAAATATTTTCCATGTGAAAATCCCTTAATGCACAATCACAGTCATTCTCTATCTTAGTCTTAGTTTTAAAATACAGTCTTCTTCATTATTGAACAAAACACAAAACTGGTCCCCACTAACGAGTAAGGCTATCACAACTCATAAAATGTACATTTATCCACTGGGTCACATATCACTCCTGAAATGTATTGCTTCTTTTCCAAATTACACCCACAGAGTACATTATAATGAACTTTGACGTTAGGTACAAGGAGTACATTTGCTTTTGTTATTTACTGTTTTTAGGACAATGGCGTGGTTAGGGGGGGGGGATTATTTTTCCTCTCAGCTGAGACCTTCATGAGTAACTAAAAATAAGCAACTATGCGTGGGATAGGAATGCAGCTCAGTTGCAGCCTAGCATGCAGGAAGCCCAGTAGAACTGAGTGCGGTGCTCCACACCTGTAATCCCAGCACTCGGGAGGTAGATGCCGGAGGATCAGAAGTCCAAGCCCTTGGACAGCTTGGTCTGTAGGAGACATTGGAGAGGGGGCGGCAAATAAGCAAAGCCTGGAGGGAGGGAAGAAAAGGAAAGGACAGAAATAGCTATGTGCTTTCAAGTTCCTATGTGGAAATCTCCCCACACACTATGACGGAAACTCTCTATTCAAAAACCTAAGCCATTCAACTCAGTCTGTGTCTTCAGGGAAAATGGAGGGACTTCTGCCTCTCAGACAGCTTGGCAAAGCCGATGACCACAGCATCCTCATTCTGCTCCGTGGTGTCTCACATCACCTGAGCAAAGAGGTGCAGCCAGCCATTCCTTTCTTTTCCATCTGTGCTGAAGAATCCGAGAACGCACGGGCGCAGTGTGCCACCTCCTGAGTAGAAGAGGGTGTGCAGTTTCAGCTTCAGCCGCAAGCCAAGAAGGCAAGCTTGCTCAGCCTCTGGCAGCTCAGTGAGCAATGTGTTTGGAGACACAGGATGTGGTACTTCTGTAGCTTCTCCCACAGCCAATGCAAGTCCATACAGAGAAATGGCTGGCATGGGTCTTGTCATGCTATCACGGATAACATGATAACTGACATGTTATCAGACACACTCTGGCAATACTGGAAAACCAGAATGCAATGGTGTTAAACCTGGAGCCTGTGAACCTGTTCCTGCCAGTAACTGCTTGAGCGACCTTGAACAAGTCACCTAATTTTTCCAGGCTACAATCATAAATGGGGAAGTGAACCAGGGGCTATAGTGGTCTATTTAGCCCTCACCATGAGACTGTCATCAAGAGGAACCTCTCTCCAGTCTTTAACTGACCCTCAGAATTCAGATCGTTTTTTTACATCACCAGCGCTGTCTTGGGAAACGTTGCCAGGCTTCCGTCATTCCTGTAATCCAGCGCCCAGAACTAGCCACAGGTGGCTCATTAGGCAAAGAACCCTACGGTTGTTTGCTGCAGGTTCATTTGTGAATAAGTGAAGAGCGCATGCTGGAGCATCCTTCCTGTCATTAGATCATGCACAAGTTAGAAACGGAAGCCCCAAGCTCCTACTATCTGCCCGGCCCAAAACCAAATCCCAGATAGGAGAAAGGCCTTACATCTCACTTCCTCTGGCACCTGGAATGCAGCAGCAATGTGAATGTTCTTAAAGCCGGTGGTATGGCAGCCGTGAAAGAGAGATGTGATATGCTCTATCTAGAAAAAGGGAGACACACGTTGCCCAGAGACTGCGATCTACATTCTGTGTATCTCCAAGTAGCATTGGAGTCTGACAAAAAGAGTCCTGGTGACCCCATAAGGTCCAGAAATCAAAGGGAGAAGGAGGCAAAGGAACCACATGACCCTAATGACAGGGTTCTGGGGCTGGCTGCTGTACATCCTCTGTACATCTTTCTCCACTGTGTACCTCTAGTGGCTAACACAACGATCGGCAAATGTTTGCTTTGTAACATAATGTGGCCAGAAGAGTGGACGAGTAACATGCTGCCCCCACACTTGAATTCCGCTTGCATCATTAACGGAACCTCGATTTCATTAATAACAACTCTAACACCAGTGGTCTGAGGAGGAACAAATGACATACATATAGAAATCTTTAGGGCTGTAAGGTCTTGGATTGCAAGCTGGAAGTAAAAACAAATACTTTGCCTTCCTTAATTTCCATGTTGCCATGTTAATTACCACAAGCGAAAGGAACTTGGAGGGAAACAGATGTGCTTGGCTTGTGAGTTATAGCCCATCATGGAGGGAAGTCATGGCAGGAACACAAGGCAGGAACTGAAGCAGAGATGATGCAGGAACGCTGCTCACTAGCTCACTCTCCGCAGCCTGCCTTCTGATAAAAGCCAGTACTGCCTGCCCAGAGGTGGCACCACCCACAATGGGCCAGGTCCTCCCACAACAATCATTAATCAAGAAGATGCCCCCAGACATGCCCAGAGACTAATTAACCTGCTGCAGTCAATTCCTCAGCTGAGGTTCCCTCTTACCAGGTCGTTCAAGTTTGTATCAAGTTAACAAAAACTAACCAGCACATACTTCAAATATTTTTAATTAAAAATATTTTATTATATAATTAATGGATATATTAATTTCTGCTAAATTTTTGTATAATCAATAGGTCATAAATATATGTATAGTTCTACAAATATAAATACATAATAGTTTATTCCAGCCTCATTTATATTTAGCAAATTTTTCTATAAACAGAACTATCAGATGCTTGCCCCATCCTTGTTGACCCAGCCCACACTACAAATCCCCCTCCCATACATGCTGAAATTTCCATCTGAAAGAAGGGCATTTCATTGAACTCTACAAGAATGATACTGTATCAAAGTGATAGTATTAACCAAAAAAAAAAAAAAAATGCGGCCATCATGTAACATAAAGGGGCTGGGCCAAGGGTGTCTTAATTCTCCTTGATTTTCAGAAGTTTAAGGCATTGGAACACATCAGAACTGGTCACAGTTCTAAAGCACGCCAGGAAGTTAACATTGCATCGAGTACAGAGCTTCAAGAATGCCATGCGCATCTTACTAAGAGTCCTAGGAAGCAGGAAGACTTAGAGATCAGGCTTCAAGCAGAGCACTGGGTAAAGAGAGGCACTTCCTCGGCTTCTTCAACTGCGTTTGCTGCTGCGGAGCTTGGTCAGGCCGCGCGGTGCACGATGGGAGTGACGCAGGTGCAGCCAACCTTGACCCGCATCTTCTCCAGCCGGAAGGAATTAGAACAGCCCTGGGGCTCCCGCCGGAGGACCAGGATTTCTTGATGGATGGCAACGGAGTTCATGGAGCTGTCTTCCTGCCCCTGGGCGTTGATGCAGCCTGAATATCTGCACTGGGCCTCGGCGATCTCTGAGGGGAACCGGTGGGGGTCTCGGGTGATGCTGAATAAAAACAAAAAGGCAACAAAGGATGTTGAGGCCAGGCAGTGGAAGAGAGAAGGGCTCCGGCAGCTGGGTGTCCCCCTCCGGGGGAGGTTCTGAGTCACACAGGGAGCAGCACCCGCTCCAGATTCTTGGACCATGCTCTAGCTGTTAAGTAACTCCCCATGCCCCAAATGCCTCCACCATAAAATGGGGCTTCTCACCATATCATTCTCTCAGGGGACTGTTGAGGATTTTTACGTAGTATGAAGTCATGTAAAGCAACCCCATAAATGACGTTAGGGTTCAGTTCATCTTAGACCTGTAGTTTATTTGTATTGTTATTACAATTATTACACGTCCTTTAAGCAGAAAGTGAACATCACTAATAGGTCTCCCAATGTACAACCCGTAAAAATTCACTGCTTGGAAAGGAAAATCAAAGCCCTAGAGATTTATGAATCCAAAGCCTCACTCAGTTTCTCTCTTGATATTCACCTCTGCCTGGAGACAGGCAGCCTCGTGGGCTTGCTGCAGTGTGCAAACCTCTCAGGAAGTGCCCCCAAAGCACTGCTTTGTCCCTGGAATCTGTTTTTATGGATGTATTTGAAGAGTATAAGTGGGTACTTAACCTATATCTTAAGATAAAATCACAAGACTCTACCCTACACAGTGGACGTCTACATCTCAAGCTGACCTCTCTTCCACGCCTGTCTCTTACCCTCACTACTCAGAGTAACATTGAATCTGAGTGCATCCTTAAACTGACTTCTGGTTTCCACTTACCCTCATCCAGTGATAATAATGCATAACTTATCACTCCTGTAATCCCAGAACTCGGAAGGCTGAGGCAGAAGGATAACCATGGGTCTGAGGTTAGCCTGGGCTACCTAGGAAGTTCCAGGGCAACCTGAGCTACAGAGTGAGACCTCCATCTCAGAAAAAGAGTGAATGTGAGTCCTGAGTAGGGAGAAGAATGAGGCTTTATAATCAATAATAATTAGATAATTTAGAACATTTTTCTCCAGTTTTGGCTGTCCTGGAATTCAGTATGTAGATCAAGCTGGCCTTGAACTCAGAGATCTACCTGCCTCCGCCTCCTGGGCATTGGGATTAAAGTCATGTACCACCACATCTGGTTTAGCACATTTTTCATTGGAATATGGATATCTATCTCCCCTGACTTACTTGTAATCCCATGGGGAGCTGGAGCGATTCTGGAAGTCATGTGAGACAGAAATGCCCTGATTTTGATTGAAGATGCGGATGTCAACTCTCACACTGTTATCCTCCAGGGGAGGGCAATTCCCAGCCTTCTGAGGGACAGGAGCTTTGGGGTTCTTCCGTGCTGCTACCCCTCTCAGGATGGCAAGCCCCAACATCAACAGTAGCAGGGACTTGAACTGGAAAATAGAGAAGATTGCTGATGGCTAGAGCCCTGGTGGTGCAATGTAGCTGAACTCCAACTCTATATATGGAGTCTCTTTATTGGACCAAGGTTTCTTTCTTTCTACAGGTAGTCACTGGCAATGAGAACAGTAATCCCTAATGTTACCAAAGTGTGAAACAGAAAGACTGGTCATTAAAAGCCTCTTGAATTTAAGCCTCGACTTATATTCCACAAAGGCTTCCTCCAGAACATCCCTCCAAATCTCACCCTACCATCAGGGCCCCATTCATATGTAGTTCAATTAGAAGTATATTTATCAACAATAAATAATAAAGATTTTTATCATTTATCACTCATGAAGCATTTCTTTATGTTCTTCTAGAAAGGTGTTATGTGTGTTCGTATCAGACTTAGACCTGTTAAAGTAAAACTTTCTGTATGAGAACATGCACAGCAAGGGTGTTCCATAAAAGCTTTCTGAATGAATGAAAGGATGGGTAAGTGAATGAATGAACCGGGCAGGGCGACACAATTATATTAAACAATAGAGTTGAGCTCAGCTCATTGAGTAAAAGATTATGCAAAACCAACCACAGCAAACTTCCAATTATCGATGCTAATTGAAAGACGCAGGGGCACTAATGGCGCACAACAGCAGAGGATAGAAGCCATTTCTTTAAGCTGTGGCATAAATATATTTTCTACACTAACGTTGAAATGTCAGTTTATCTGCTGTTACAAGAACACGCAAAGAAAGTACTCAATGAAGACCTACCCACAAGAGGAGCTGGGAACTCAACAGCTTCCCTTTGTTGTGACTATCCTTTGCCCACACTGCCATCCCTGCTTGACCATCACTGGTGATGGACAGAGGAACTGAAGCTGAACTTTCAACTTCTGGGCTCCATGTTGCTCAGGTTCATACTGTGTGGGTAGGGAAAGTGATTGTGTGTTGGTTTAAAAGACAAGCCTGGGTGCAAGTAATGCCCAGCACACACAGAAAGGTCATCGTATCAACCTGCTGTACCAAGATCACTAATAATAAGTAGAAATCAAGATGCAGGATGAGGCAGATTTGCCTCCAGATAATCAGCAGTCGTGTATGTTTTCCCCTCCACAGTCACTGGTTCGCTCAGTAACTAATACTTGGGGTCACAGTGTTGTGGTTTGGGGCATTATCTCTAGAGTCAACTGTCTGGCGTCCATAACTCAATTCTAGGACTCACACCACAGTGACTTGGTTTCCTACATCCACAAAAGTCCTAAAGACCCCTGTAAGCACGTGATGAGGATTTGATGCAGGTAACAACTGTTGGCACTATACGGATGTGACACTCACTGCATGTGAGATGGATGTGGAATGTAGTCTTCACAAGTGCCTGGAAGTTTAGCAAACAGAGTCACTCACCGATCAACCACTTATTTAGGTTTCCTAAGCAAATCTCTCCTCTGAGTCTTCTCCTTCCTCTTGTATATCATGTTCACTGACTCACTTCTAATTTTCATTATCAAGACTGAAAGTCACTATAGCGTGGGTTATGTGATTCATGACAATTATTGTAGTGGTTCAAATGAGAATGCCCTCCATAGGCTGATATGCGGTCTTGTTGGAGAGAGTGTGTCACTGGAGTGGGCTTTGATTTTTCAAAAGTCTTTCATCATCCCCAGTTAGCTCTGCCTCATGGTTATGTCTTAAGATGTGAGCTCTCAGCTACTGATTCTACACCCTGCCTACCTGCCTGCAGTCATGATGATCATGGAGTTAACCCTCAAAAACTGTAGGTACCAAATTGGACACTTTCTTTTACGTGTTGCCTTGTTCCTGGTGTTTTATCACAGCAATAGAAAAAAAAAATAACTAAGACAACTACCATTCTCCTAACAAGTCATTACTATTTTTATTAATACTTAAATATTCTTGGGGTATTTTAGAAAACATTTTCATGGCTCTTTAAACACTAGATTCTACCCACTGTCTCATGAGGCAGACAGAACTCATCTTAATTATCTAATCAGCTAGATGAAGGACTTAGTCTGAGAGGCAATCAAGAACTTGGCAGATTTTCAGCCTCTTAATGCCAGTCTACAGGCTCCACTTTCCATGGCAATGCTTGGTCACAGCCAGCCACTGAAGGTCATCACTACTATTATCCACATCAATCTTAGTTGTGTGTCATTACAGGACACAAGAATTCTAAATATTCTATCCACTGCATCTAAAAACCAGAGGTATTGAAAGCCATAGGGCCTTTATCAGGAAATCATATAATATCATCAAATCACTGCTTGCTTCCTGACAGTATCGTTTTTAGTGTTTGGGGGCTCTGATAAGGCTGGTGCTGAGTCTAAAGAATGATACAAACAATACTTCCCAGGGAAGCTGAGAGTGTTTTACAGGCTTGAATTCTTATATGCCACCCTTAAAGCAGATTAATAGATATAATTCTCACCCTGTAGAATGGGAAACAGGCAGGGGAATACTGAAACTATAGGTGGGCAATCACAGAATGTGAACCTTTTCAGCTTAGTTTTGTATGTCACTCTGATGTGAGCCCAGCTGCACATTGCCCCTACACTTACCTGTAATCTGTGACCTCCTCACTCAGGAATAGGCTATGGAACCTGGTCAGCTCTAAGCTCCATCCAAATGCACCTCAATTACCATAGTGTGTCCTCTCTGCTGGCCCCTCCTAACCCAATCCCATTTCCATGCCACGTTCACTGCCATGCTTCTCGCTGACAATCCATCTGATTTTTCTTTCTCAAAGAAATAGAAATGGTTTGGAACACTAGACTACCCAAAGGATTAGCTTGGATGCAATGGTGTTAGGTTAAGAATCTTGCCTCTTGATCACCCACAGATGATTCAGGTCACAGTTGTGCATTACACTATTCAATGACAGCAAACAAAAAACAGATGATTGAGCTCCCTTTCACTGTGTAATGGGCAGAATATTAACTGTCTATTTCTGTGGGTTGATGAGGGTCTCAGAGGTAATGATAATAACACTGAGCTAGGCTTGGTGGCACACTCCTGTAGACCCAGCATTCCAGAAAAGGAGGCAGAAGGATTGCCAGTTCCAGACCAGTCCAAGTTACGTAGCAAACTCAAGACTAGCCTGGGCCACACAGGAAGATCTTGTCTCAAAAAGCAAAAACAATAATATTAAGAATTAAATTTACATGCTTTTGCTACCTTTATCTCTTACAGCAAATTAGAGTGTCCAAATTAAATAGAAACTAAGCATTCATGATCTAGAGATTCATCCCGCTATACCAATTAATCCCTTCCACCAAACACTGTAAGGAGACACTATTATCATACTGCTGCATGGCTGAAAAAATTAATTTCACAAAGGGTGGTGACTAATGCCAAATCCCACATTTAGCAGATAGCGGAGTCAAATTTGTCTGACTTCAAAGCCTTACATCCCTAAATACTGTGCTTTGGTGGCTTGTGGTAATCTCTAAAATAAAATACTAACAATCAAGTCAATATCACCATTGTCAGAAAGCATGAGCCCTTTATAAAAGCCCAGCTCTTTGAAGTTTCAAGGCTCATACAAGGAAAATCAGAAGACTATCCGAACCAATTACACAGTGTGATTTCCTACGCCTGGTCCATGTGCCTCTATGTTAAACGCTTCCCACGTTTATCCGATTAATGTCGGCCATGACTCCAGTTGTAAGTAGTGAGGAGTAGAATTGTATTATACTAACATTCCACTAGCTTCTAGAAGGAGAAAGACCAAGCAAATTAATTAGTTAATTGATTAGGTATCAAAGACATGAAAAGCTTCTCCAGGAGCTGTCCAAAAGTTTAACTGGGTGGTTGTTCTTCCTCCACCCAAAATACTACCATAGTCTTGGATGAACCAAACCTTGGGTTCTCTGCTTCCTTGGGATATAAATTATATATTAATACCTAATGTATATTAGATAGTGTTATATGTGATATTACATAGCTACTCCTTCCTTGGAATTTATACACACACACACACACACATATATACACTATATATATATACACACATGTATGTATGTATGTATGTATATATAAAAGCTTGGCTTGGCTCTCACCATCAAGTATTTTTTGGCCAACCTGAGTCTATAATGAGTAGCTAAGAGAGACCATCATGGTCCCTTGTGATACCAGATACACACACTAACTCACCTGAGCAAAATCCGTCAGGTAAGATCTATGCTTTCCACTCCCTGTAACTTTGCTGCTGTTGGTTCATTGGTTTTTTTCTTTTTCTCCACCAGACAAATCAGAAATTAAACTGATTCATTTTTTAAAGAACTAATCCACAAAAGACTCCTAGAAGGTCTGAAGCCTTGGAAATCTCCCTTCTTTACCGCTTAGACGCATTTACCCTTACCCTAGACATCAGCACCACTTACCATGGCTGTCTCACACGGACCCTTCATGTTTGTTTCCAGCTGGCTGCTTCTTTGTTCAGGAAACTCTTTCTTCTGAGTATGTCTTCCTGAGTATGTCAATGACAGTACCTGTCACTTTTATAGCAATCACTGTCCCTGTTTCCACTGACCTCCTTACTGTCTGTAAGTTGTGGTTGACCCAGAGTGACTGACGAATGCAGGGTTTTTTTTTCTACTTTACTTCCTGAAGGGGAATCAAAGGGGGGACCCTAAAGGAGATGACGGAAAATGGACCCAACCTTCCTTTCCTCCTGCTCCCCGCCTCCTCTCCCATTATCTTCACTACAGAGAGAAACCAAGTCACAGATTACTGTCACAGACTCTAATTCTTCCACAACTTGTGGACACTCTTGTCACGAACTGTGCGTTCCACTTTCAGGTCACGCAGTACAATCCCTGGTTGACATGGGGGTAAGTCATCCTTACCAAGCCTTGCTTTTAAACACCATGGATGGGAAAATGAAGCGAAAGAAATGACTGGTGTCTGAGAGATTCAGAAATTACATCCACAGGTAGTTTTTTGTGGTTTCCCTAAACTAATTCTTCTAACGCTCTGACCAAACCCTTACTGTGCTTACCAAATAATCATTCACACAATATATGTGGCTGTTGTCTTGGCTAAACGCTGATTGAGGATGATTTTTGTTGGCCAAAGTGAGCTAGTAAATAGAAGACTTTAAATGCTCTGGCGCACAGTTTGTGGGCTTTCAAAAAAATTCAGTTGTCTCTGTCCCGATCCTGTCCCTAAAACATTTGTCAGGCACACACATTGATGCTAGGGGAACACAATCATTCCCCCCTCCCTCAAACACACCAGAAGCTTACTTCTTAAAAACTTCTAATACTGGGTCTGTTGGCTCAAACGTTAAGAGCACCGGTTGTTTTTCCAGAGGATCCCGGTTCAATTCCCAGCGCCCACACAGCAGTTCACAACAATCTGTAATTCTACTTCCAAGGGAATCTGACACCCTCACACAGACATGCATGCAGACAAAATACCAATGAGATAAAAATAAGTAAATTTAAAAAATTCTATTACAAGGAGGTAAAATCATCTACACTTGGACCAGCTTTGAGTCTCTGTGTCCATTACCATCTCCTACAAAATGAAGCTTCCTCAAATGTCGGGAGTGGGGGTGGATTTGATCAACACTATATATTCATGTATAAAATTCTATAACCAAAGTTTTTTAAAGATCAGGTGAATGTGCACACTTTCCTTTCAGAGTGTAGTCTAGAGCTCGGAGCTGCCATCCTCTGTTGTCCACGTATTTGACTAAATCTCCATTTTCTTTAACTGAAGAGCATCCAAAACTGACCACAGTTCTGCCGTGGCACACCTTACCACCACATGATGGAAGCTTCTGTCTGTGGAAGCTTCTGGTCCTTCCTTCTCTGCAGCTGTCAGAAGTTCAACTCCTACCTAAAGACTCCAACCATCCTCTCGGGCATTGCTCTCTCCTCACGCTTGGTAAGCTCAAATTCTATCATCTTTTGCCTGCTTCTTCTGTTCAGGATGGTTCTCTAGGCTCTTAATAAATATGTGGTATCTTCAGCCCATCCCAAAAGAAACATCCTCAAATATGCAATCTATATTACACAGTATATATACTGGTTTTTCAAGACAGGATTTCTCTGTGTAGCTTTGGAGCCTGTCCTGGGACTTCCTCTATAGACCAGGTTGGCCTCCAACTCATAGAGATCCATCTGCCTCTGCCTCCGCCTCCTGAGTGTTGGGAGTAAGGGCATGTGCCACCACCGCCCGGCCTACACAGTAAATTTTTTGGGCAAACATGGATTCAATACAAGTGCTTTAGCCAGACTGAAATCCCCATGCTTATCTCACAGATAATTTTAAGGCCTCATCACATAGGACAGCTCATGAACACGGTGAAGCTGCCTTCATGAAGTCTAGATTTTAGATTTCAGCTTTGCTTGTATTCCTCATGATACCAAAGCATCTATGAGCAAGGCTACTTCTGGATCTGCACTGTCTGCTGAAGGACTGAACATTGGTGGCTTGCTGTCTGTCCACTATAGCAGGGTTCAGAAGCAGGAGCTTCAGAAGTAGATCTGACAACTTTTCATTTGACAACTTTTTATCAATAGAATAAACCTTTCATAGTTTTATAGTTTTTTTTTTTTAGTTTTACTTATTAGCTTTAATGCCAATTATTTAGAACTCTGATAATTAGATATTTTACACACACACACACACACACACACACACACACACACACACACATGCGCATGCACAGATAAATTTTTGACTAGCATATAAAATAATAGATTTCATTATGACATTCTTTTGTTTGTTGTTTGTTTGGGTTTTTTGTTGTTGTTGTTGTTGTTGTTTCAAGACAGCATTTCTCTGTGCAGCCCTGGCTGCCCTGAAACTCTCTTGATAGATCAGGCTGACCTCAAACTCAGCAATCTACCTGCCTCTGCCTCTTGAGTGCTGGAATTAAAGATGTGTGCCACCACTGCCTTTCTTTATTATGCCATTGTTATAGATGTATTAAATTTATAACTTAATGGGCTATTAGAAAAATGGCAGAAATTCTGATAGATAGGAACTAATAAGAGGAAGTGGGTCATTGGAAAAATAGATTGAAGGAATGCATTTGTTCCAGGTCTTTCCTCCTCTCCTTCCATCCCTCTCTTCATTCACCTTTTCCTTTGGAGACAGCATGAATCGAACAGCTTTCCCCTACCTCGCCCTCAAGAAAACCACACAAAGTTCTTGTTTCATCCTGATCAAGAAGTATGATGTCACATGACCATACACACTAAGACCTCTGAAACCATGAGCCAAAATAAGTCTCTATGCCTTTGAGTTGATGGTTAGGGGTGTTGCCATAGAAACAGACGGCTGCTTATCATCCCCGTTTTCCTCAGTAGCCTTTAGGTTGATGGTTAGGTGTGCTGCCATAGTAACAGAAGGCTTGTGAGCATCCCCACTTTCCTCAGTAAACTCTTTCCTCATGGCCGTGCTTCAGTGCATAGAAGAGTACCAGAACCACCCTGAAAGGAGTCTCAAAACACCAGACTCAGTACAGGAGGGTTTGCTGGATTGCGGCTGGGAAGAATAAAAGAGCACCTTCCATGCGAAGGAAGCAGCACTGACTTTCACAGCCGCCATCAAAACGCTGTCTGCTGCAGAAGGAAAACCACTTATCGGGATGCCAAACTGGTAACTGCCCAGAACCAAGGGGTCCAGATCAATCATCTATCCCGCATTTACTCAGCATTTCTTCCCATGTAAACCAGGTATGTTGACACTATGGACACAGTAACGAATGTATGATAAGCAGACAGCCAACTTGGGGCCATGCACCTCTCTGACCTTGTGTCAGCACCAGCCCTGAGACTTTCGGAAATACCCTAGAGCGGTTGTCCAGCACCCAGGCCACACTCAGCTTCAAGGCACACAGAAAGCAAACAGCAGACAACTGTAATCCCAAGAGTGGCTTATGTAGTGGATATCTGTTCTATCTATGACCTTGAAGCACTGCCCTTAGAGAAGTAGCAGGTAACTATCCTATCTACCAATGACCTTGAAGTATCTGCCCCTGGGGCGTGGTGGGGGGGGGGGCTACCTTTAAGACCTCAGACACAGGTAGGCCGCTCTCTTCTCTCCCTTGTGGGCTTGGATGCTCAGACGGACTCAGGCAGAGGAACAGTGTGGCATTGTACCTCAGCCTTCCAGGACCCTACGAAAATCTCCTATTCTATAGTGAGTCTTCCTTCCTAATAAATTCCTTTACCCTTTAAGCAGACCCCATGGATTTCTCATAATGGGCTTACACATAGCCTCACCTATGATAAAATAGTGCAGCTGGCAAAACATCCAGATTAGCCAGTGTTTTAGCCAGTATGCCCTACTGTGTGCTTGGAGCCATACTCCGTGTTTTTCCGTGGGATACTGTTCCAGGTAATAGTCTGTACTATTATAAATTTGTATTAAGAAGTTCAAAATCTGGTTACATAGTGAAAATCATCACACATATATTAACAAATAAAATAACAGCATGAAATTGATAGTGATCTTGGTGGCATGAATATAAACATTTAATCTTACAAATCCAACTTCCAGAGACGTTATTCTCATTCTATAAAGGTGAGTCTAGTCCTCTATAGGAAGATGGCTTGGTGGGTAAGAAAACTTGCTGTAAAAGCAAGAAGACCTATGTTCAGATCCTCAGCACTCACATAAAGCTGGGCAGGCTTGGAACCCCAGAACTGAGGGACAAAGTCAGATTGGTTCTGAGAGCTTTGCTGGCCAGCCAGCCTGGCCAGAACACAAGCTGCAGGCTCAGGGAGAGATTCATCTCAAAATAATAACAGCAAGGTAGAGAGTGATAGAGAACAAAAGCCAATCTCTGACCTCTGTGTGTGTGTGTCTGTGTGTGTGTGTGTGTGTCCCCAAGCACACAAGTACACATACACTACACTAGAGAGAGAGAGAGAGAGAGAGAGAGAGAGAGAGAGAGAGAGAGAGAGAGACTGCCATAGCACAGCAGTATATCTGAAAACACAAAATTAATGTCTGAAAGTGAGGTGCTAACATAGCAAAAGCTTAAACAATCTAACCGTACTTCGGGCAGTTAAATTACCAGTCAGATAAATGATGATCTATGTTATGTAGCACAATCCATTTGACAAAAAACTGTAATAACCAGAAAGGCAGATATTGTACCTAATTAATTTGTATCCTTAGAGAAAGAGATTAGAACCTTATCCGTATACGTGAGATTTTCTGAACTGACAAAAATTACATGAAGAAATTGAGTTCAGAACAGAACTGAAGGTTTGCAAATGAAATGGAGAATTGAGGCCAGAAGTCCAGAGTCCTGCAAGACTAGAAAGAAAGAAACATCTATTTCTACCCACCAAAAATAAAAGACAATCACAAAAAAGCTTCAGACACATCTTTCAGCCAAACAAATTTCCCACGGATGAAAAGCAGAATGAAGCGTGAAATAATC